ATAAAAAATTTTTACAAATATTTAATGATTCTACAAACGTGTTTTCTAGTATTTATTATCCAACTTCCTCTATTTTACTTAATCAATTATTTATGATTAGTGATTGTTTTTCAAAACATAGAAATAAACAATATTTTGAAAATATTGTTGAGCAAATGAATATTAAATTTAAAAAATATTGTAAATATATCTCTCCTTTATATTGTTTAGCTGCGATATTAGATTCTATGATAAAATTAGAAATTGTAAATATAATACTTAATTTATATAATCAAAATATGCAAACAAATATAGGTAGACAAAAAAGAAATTAAAAAACACTAGTTAATATGTATAATTTATATGAATATAAAAGTATAAATAAATAAATAAAACTGGTTTAGTGCCACCTAGTTAGTACCAGATGAAGCAGTGCTAAAGTGTGGTGCTTAATAAGTAAAGGCATTGTTTCCTCATCTTCCTATATGTCAAATTCATCTTTCAATAAACTTAATTTTTATTTGCAAAATAATTTTTTAAGTTTCCTTACATTTGAGAAATAGAAAATTTGATATTTTATCCTGATGGAAAGCACAAGAAAATAATGATCTTGTGTTTGTCGCTATGGCACATGATCTACTAACCCCACCAATGTCTACAATAACATTCAAATCTTGTTTTAGTGTAAGATATAGGAAGCTAGATAAGAGGAGAAGTTGATTTACAAATGAAATATTGGAGATGTGTATTTGTATGAAAGATTGGTTTTTGCAAAAAATAGATTACAAGATAAAGGAGAGGACATAGCACATCATATAATATATATCACCAAAAGAAAAGGAAAGTGGCACTTGAAGTTGAAGTCTTGAAGAAAATCTTTTAGGTTATCATAAATGTTAATATTTTAAATTTTATTTGTACCTTGTAAGTTATTGTAACTTTTTTCAATCCCATTATAAATATTTACTAGTGGGGACCCGTGCAATGCACGAGATTTGTTAAGTTAAAGATAAACAATAAAAGCATGTAAGAGTATACAATTATTTTGTATAAGAATTAATAATCATCTATATTTTATATAATACATTTAATAATTTTTTTACAATACAAAAAATAACAATAATTAATTTTAGATAGGGTTGTTTATCAAAATTAGAGATGGCAATTTTTCCCATTTCCCCAATACCCGTGGGGATTTGCCCCGAATGGGGCAGGGATGGGAATGATTTCCCCTTGTGGGGATGGAGATGAGGAAACTTTCATCACCACGGTGACAGCATTCCCTACCCCATGTGGACCTTGATCCCCGCTAATATATATATATATATACATATACGTTTATATATGTATATTGGCATACGTCTATATGTCAATATTTTTAAAAATATGGTTGAATCTTTTCTGTTAGGACTCTAAATTTTATTTTATTTTTTAAATAAAATAAAAATCAAAAACATAATGGTTGACATTATAAAGAATCACGGGGAATGGGGATCCCCGTGGAGACAAAGATGGGGATAACTTTGTCCCCATTAGCGGGGATGGGGATGGGGACGTGGATAGAGAGAAGCTCCTTGTCCCTGCCCCACCCCATTGACATTCTGAATCAAACTAATGAAACTAATCAACCCAATTTCTAGTATTTCCATTTAGCTTTGGTTCAACAATTTCTCAACCTAACTTGGTTGGATCAGTTTCGCTTTAGCCATTTGTATAACTAAAATCAAATGACTCAACCATAGATATATATTAATATTTCTTTAATACAGGAAAGTGGGAAAATTCCAATATTTCTTAGGCTAAAATAGTTTATATCATAAATTTATTTTTTAAATAATGTCATTGTAATTTCTCAAAATTTAAACTTAATTTTTAAATTTAATTTTTTAAGTTTAAATTTTGGAACTGGCTGACCAAACTGAAAATTGACCCAAACCGATATAACCTAAGTGACAACCCACCAACCAACCTACAACAAAACCGAACCAACCCGTGAACAATAGTTTAATATCAAATAATTATTAAAAAATTATAGTGAAAATACAATAATTTAAATTTAAAAATCTAAATAATAGTATTTTAAACTCCAATAATTACTGAATATTTTCTATTAAATAATAAAATAAAAATTGATTTATACATAATTATTGAAAATAAATCTATCACAAAAAAAACAAATAATTACTAAAATACAATAAATAATAATTTTAGTATAGATATATATAATAAGTAAAGGCTAGTTTTTTATAATTATTATTAATAAATAGTATTTTTTTGAAAGTTATTTTCTAGAATTATTAATTGGTATAAATGAATTAATTATTTACAATATTATTTATTTATTGAAAAAATATCATTGTTTAAATTTTAAAATAATAATTACTTGTTGAATTTAATAATCCATAAATTATAGTAATATTAATACATAATTTTGTTATTTTAACTATTTAAAAACTAGTTATGTTAAATATTTCATTATTTAATCACTAAATATTAATTTATTTATTATAATCGAAAGTTATTTAGTAACTATTTAAAATATATTATTTAAGTGATTTAAAATATTAATCTTCATATTTTGTTATTTAATATATTTAGTTATTGAAACATTTAAGTAATATTTCATTTTTAACGTTAGATTTTTATTATTTGAATAACATTTAGATTGAATAATCTAGAAAGCCATAATTTATATTGTTTGTAAAAATATATAACTATTAATACTATGAATATTATTAAATCGATTATAATTATTTTTTTTTAAATAAATATTTTAAAATTATTGTATAATTTTGTTAGAATATTTAAATAATTTTTTAATTCAAACTTTCTTTATATAGATGTAGATAAAAAGTGGGGGAGAAGATAAATAAGAATTAGAGATAATTTAGGAGAGAAACTCTCTACTAAATTAGAGATAACTTGGGAGAAAGTTGGGGATAGTGGGGGAGTTTGTTTAGGAGAAATTTTAGGATATTAGATTATTTAGGTTGTTGGAATGTGTGGGGGAAAGAGAGAGATAGATAGATTGTATGAACTGATTATTCACATGTAATAAAATTTTAAAATGAGGTTTTTTTCAAATTGTTGTTGCAGTCACTGATTGTCATTTTTTTCCTTCAATTTTTAACTATTTTTAAAAATTTGAGTTTTTTATTTTTTTGTAATGAAAACAAAAAAATACATAAAGAAAATCCAAAAATGAAATAATAATAGTTGGGCCAAGGCCTATGAGTTCACATCAAGCCCCCACAAGGAGCCCCACAACGTCCCACGATACATTTCAGTGATGTATTGGGAACATATCCCAATGATGGTTCATCGTTTCATGTACTATCATTGGGAGATGTTCCCAATCAAGGTTCAAAGTATCGATATGTATCGGCCGATACGTATCATTCCGGTACCCTTTCAATACGCCCTTACAGTGGGTGTATCGGGGGTCTGACCGGTTCGGGGGATGGAAGGGTCCTAAACCGGCTCCCCTGAACTAGTTTTGAAAAAAATAAAAAATAAAAAAAAGTAAAAAAATAAGTATCGAAATGCCCAATACGCCCCTACCAGTATATCGAGCATATCAATATTTTAAATTTTATTTCCAATACACAGCTGGGATGTGTTGTAGGACGTTGTCGGGTGCCTCCTTGTGGGGGGCTGATGTGAACTCAAGGCCTGCAACGAGCCCAGGCTAATGCTGAGCCCCACATGCACAGGGCGTGCCAACATGGCTCAGTACAATAGTGTTGGATTGGCACGGTTCACATTACACCTCTAATGATGCTCGCACTTGTAACCAATTAACCAATATTATAAATGTGTTTACCAATCATGTGATATTTATTACAATTCACGGGTGGGTTTTGATTAATTAAAGCCCTTTAAATTAAGAAACACATTAAGCTCCATTTGGAAATAATACAAATACAAATATCTGATTCATAAAAACGCAAAGTTGATTTAGTTTTGTAATAATAATTTTGTATTGTTGTCAAATGATTCTTAGTTGTGATAGGAACAAACACAAATCATGAGACCGGAGCCCACCTTTTTTCACATTGAACAATTTGAGTGCAAAAATTTGTATCTGTTTTTTGAATGCAAACTTTTGATCTCATTTAAATGCAAACTTTTGTAATAAAAATTTTACATCCCGTTGACTTTGTTAACAAATAATATTTGATTGCACAAAGAAAAATGTCTGTAGCATGAGTATGAAAAAGGAATTTTAAGAAATACATTGGAATACTCTTTAGTTGTGTGATGTGTTTACAATTAGTCAAAGTATTCTAAGGCTCGGATGACAATGTTGAAATTGTCGGGTACTATAAGAGTATTCAAAGGGGCCCAAATGACGAACTAGGTATAATTAAAGACAAAGAAACATCAATTCTAATAGTTGTATGATGTGTTAGCAGTTGGTAAAAGCAAGGTTCAAAGTATCAACGACGATATGGGCGGGCAAAATGATAGTGTCTCAGGCCTTTTTTTTTTTTTTTTTTTTTTGCAACCGGTTCTGTTTTAGGTCTTCTCTTCCCCCTGAACCGATCAGACCTCCTATACACCCACTGTAGGGGCATATCAGAGGAGTCCCGGAACAATATGTATCGGCCGATAATGTAGTAACCAATCAGCTGTTACATTACATTATGTATATATTACTACAAAACCAATACAAATAATGTAATAACCAATCAGCTGTTACCTGTTACTTGTCAGAATTTTGGGGGAGGTTTGATTGGTTACATTTCTTCTGGTGTCAATTACCTTTCGGGTATAATAGATATTAGATAATGTCAATTTAAGAGATTAATTTTCTTATTTTACCTTAATTTTTTGTTATCTTTGAAAAGAGTTGACTCATAAGAACATAGTTTTGACTATAATCATGCTTTTTTGCTGGTCAACATAATCATGTTTAAGCTCCACTTGGAGAAAAAAAAAATTAGAGAAGCAACATATGTAGTAAAGACACTTGTTTTCTTTCTGGAATGAGTCGTAGAACCATAGTACCATTGAACCACTTCTGCGAAGTAAACTCATCTATATTCAACAGCATAGTTTATACATATACCGGACCCAGATAATCAAACACGTTACTTCAACTACGACATTTAACGTGTTTGATATCTCAATAACATACTATCCATAAAAAAAAGAGGATATCTGAATAACATACAAGCTTAAAAAAAAAAAAGCATACAAGGGTATTAATTGGCTTCTCAGGCTATTCCACAAGAAACTAAACACAGTGGGGTGTGCGGTTGCCTTCCCTGGTGATATTCATATAGAGAATGGCTCAACTGTCATTTTTATTATTAGACCATATCACCAAAAATAGAACTACATACATTAATTCTCTCGTAGGAAAACAAACTTCTCTGTAACGAAGTCGTAGATACAAATACATACATTTATTTGCTTGGGGAAGCAAACCTCGATCTTTGCCTATGTAGAACTCGATCTTTTGGAGATGATGTCTTCCCACCAACACCTGCTTGGCGCATCATTTCTGCAGAGGCAGTTGTGAGATGGTCAATACTTCCAAAGATGAGACATTGTTGAAGTGGATGACCAATCGTCACATCTTGGTGCAAGAAACATTGGTAATCATGAAAACACAAATTCCATCGATACAACCTTTAGTTGAAACACCGTAAGGCAATTAGTTGGCCCTTGTATCTTGGACATGGCAGGCAGAAAGGCCCTTACATTAGTAAAAAACTTCAGAAAGAGAGAGAGAGAGAGAGAAAGCAATCCACTTCAAGACATACAGGTTTTCTAAGAGTTCAATGCATTCGAATGCTTAAGCTAATACTCTGCCTTATCCAATGTTTTAAAAACCCAACCCGGAACCAGAACCGCTTTGGCCACTCAACCTATCATTCCACTAAAAACCCTTTAACATACCAAGTTCAAAGTTCAGGTCAAGCACAGACTGATCAAGGTGCTGCCATGGTTACACTTCATTTTTGCCACTGCTAGTTCAAGCATTAGATTATCAATCCCTAGGTGATGATTAGTTGACCACAAAAAAAACGTACTAAATTCAAAGATGTACAAGCATCCAATAAAGCATAAAATAAAGGGTACGAACATTGCAAGTGCAAATAAAAATATTTTTTCATGTGCCAATATACTGAAATCTCAGTCAGTTGACAAGCCTATAGGAGTCCTAAATGTCCAATCAGTTGACTGGCCTGCAAGGATCCCAAATGTCTGATCAATGGAGGTCTATCTGGTTGAATAGTCAATGAATAATCAATGCTTTGACTACATCCATCAATGTACCCAAATGACCCATTCCAGTTGCACCTACCCCTTCCCAGATGTGCATTTTCTGTGACATGATTTTTGGTTTGCTTATTTCACATTGTTGTAAATGTACATTCAATTTATGGAATTTGGAATCAAACAAAGATGATATAGAGATTACCCCGTTTTCTTTCAAGCTCTTGGTCTAGCTCTTCTTTCCACTTCCTTTGTCTCTCTGAACAACTGACACTTCAAGGAAGACATTTTTCAGTGTTCCAAAGGGACAAAGCAATTAAGACAGCCTACCTATGCTAAAACAAGTAAAAACGTTTTACAGACCTTATACTTGTTGGTTCTTGCTGAGCATCAAAAATGAGACCTTTCAATTCATTAAGCTGAGGCGATGGAATTTCCCGTAAACTTTGATCCTTCACACCACCAATATTTGAAACACGTCTGCCAGAACTCCCAGGACTTGCAGTATTTGTAGCATCAGCTACTGGGGATTGTGATCCACTTGGAACCCGGCATGGTGACCTAATTTTAGGAGGCAACACTGGATGATTTGGAACATTTTCATCATGTACATTACCAGCACCGAACGGAGGACAAGAGTCATTCCAGGTGTTATGTTCTAACTCTGTTTGCAGCTTCTTCAGATCTAGAGCCTGACAGTAAGAAAAGAGCTTAAGATGATGCAACACATTTCGTGCTAAAATCAGAATATTTATAGTGACTGGCACACGTAAACACAAATTACAAAAAGCAAAAATTGGCCAGCTTATCTTATGGAGAGTCAGAGACAACTATACCTTCTCATCCAAGAATGCTCTAATTTTAGACTCAGTAACTTCATCATCATCTTCATACACTGATGGCCCACATGGAAACGTGAAGTCATTCTCATCCTTTTGAGACGCTCTAGGGCTGCTTGCAGTTCCACTAACTAGATTCCCAGAACCCAGCTTCATTTCACTTTGTTCCGGTTCTGGGCTTTCACCAAACTTGCATGTCCAATTATCAGTTGGCTCGCACATAGGGTTAAAGCTCTAATTACGAAGACAGACCAACCACTATTAGTCACTCAATTTCTGTTTTCCCGTAAAAGGAAATAGAAATAAAAATGAAATGGCTGATACCTTATTAAAGTCATCTGTCACTAAACCTGAATTAAATTTTACTGATCCAGCCATGAGAAAATCATCTCCATCATCTATCTGACACATGTCATCATCACCAGAGCCCATTCCCCAGACAGGTCCACTTTCTGTGAACTTTTCATCTATCTGACACATGTCATCATCCCTCAGACTACTGCAAGTTGTCCTAGGTCTGATAGAAGGGCTAATACTGCGTGATCAAGAACCACTGTCATCAACATTGCCGATGATTTCCAATTCTGAGAAGTACACACACTATCAAACAATAACACTTACGAGTTTTTCAGATTTGATCCACTGGCAGGAGAATTTTCCTGCTATCATAAAATTACAGAAATCAGAAGAAAACTTGTATTGAAAAAGCCTAGCACCCATATATAATAAAAATTTTAGTGGCAAGTACTGACCATTACAGAAGTTCGAAATATTGTATGAGCTTCATGATGTTCACCAGTAACAAATGGATGCTGCGTGTGGGCAGAACATGCACAAGATTAGCCATCTGTAGAACACACTAGCAGTAACCCATGTGATGCACAGGTTTGTGAATCTCTTTTTAAGTGCTTACTCTCTTTTGGTCTACATAGAAGCCTGCTACATGCCATTTGATTTCAAATTAATGACAAGAGTAATTGAATTGCACTCTTGCCATTACCCACTAATATTACCACCAAAATAGAATTTTTTTCTAGAATTTTTTATTTTCCTTTTTAATTTGTTTTTATTTTCTTTTTGCCTTCATTGCTAGGGATTTTTGCATTCTCTCTCTCATACTTATGTATCCATGCATGTATGTATATCATTCACTTTCTCATGTTTGTTTTTTCTAATTAAAAAGAGATACTTAGTAAAAGTAGGTCAATTGAAAGAGTTTGTAGAAGAAAAAAAATAGGCCTCACTTTTTTACTGCATAGCTTAGAGATTGAGAAAAACTAGAATAGTTGAACGGACATGTTCACAGTGGGAGTTTGTAGGGGTGAAATTTTTTATGGACAACATGAAAATTTTTATTAATTGTGATAAAAGAATGAATATACAAATAGAATTTAGAGGTGAGATTTCCCACTGTCATTTCTTCTATTTCTTTTTTTAATTCCAAAATAGATGTAGATGGCCTCAAGTTTGGTTCTAAAATAAGGGGCTTTGTGCTATTTCTAAAATAAGGGGGGAGGAAAATATTCCTTACCTGAAGCAATTCAGATGTAGATGGCCTCAAGTTTGGTTCCCTGCCATCATATTAAGTAGGCTTACATTAATGGGTATATCAGAAAAGAAACAAATACAATCGACTAAAAAAACAACAATAAATCTGTGGTTGACCTCTGCAACTAGAATTAAAAGAGAAATATAAATACGGATGTTCAACAGAAATTCTGAAAGTGTTGGAATTGCAGAAGGTAAAGCTCATAACTGCAAGTCTGCAACCTTGTTGTTTGCAGATTACAAATAAAAATTATCTAAAAATAAATATTATAAAATGAACTCAAGACCATTAGCAGATTCATGCCAAAGCCCAAACCGTCTAATGCAACCATGGAATATTTCTAGGCCAAAAGAAGAAAGAAACAAGAAAAAGGAAATCATGCGCATACTTCTGCAAACATTTCAACAGAAAGTCCTTTGCCTCTGGTGAGAGATGCTCAGGTATGGGTGGATGAGATTTTGTTGTACCAATGTGGAAGAGAGCAGCAACCTGGAAGAAACACTAATTAAGTTAGAATTGAATAGAAGAACCATTGAGAAATTCAAAAGATTCATAGAAAGGGAGAGAGAGCATTGATAACAGAAAGTGGTCATGTACCTCCTGGTACTGCTGGCTCCAAGGAGGTTTTCCAGTTGCCATTTCAATAACAGTGCATCCAACACTCCATATATCAGCCGAGCTAGAATGTTTATTTGGAAAATAATCAGAGCAATTATAAATAGGAGCATGAGACAGCAGATCAGAGAGAGAGAAAAGTAAAAAAAAAATGGAAACTGAGAAATACAGATACATCTGGACGTCAAAGTATAATCACCAAAAATCATTCCTGGTACAAAATATTTCTCTAGCAACAAACATAACCAAGGTTCAAAATATCGCAATGTATTGGTCCGTATCGGCCGATACGTATCGTTCCGGCAAGAATCTGATACGTGGAACATGTATAAATCATTCGTTCTGTTTCTTTTCGTACGTATCGAACGATACAAGCCCGTATCAGGCTGTATTGGATCTATATCGGCTGATACGGGCCCAAAACAGTCCGATACAGCCCGATACGGGCCGCAATAGTCTTATACCGTTCGGATGTGTATCGTTAATCCATATTTAATACCGAATCTGTCATTAAGTTTTAACAATCACAAGTTCGCCAATGAGCCACACATATTTGTTTGCTATGATTATATGTATTTTTAATTTTAAGTAAAGTTTCACTTTTCTTAATGAGTGACAAGTTTTTATTAATAAATGCTAGAATTAATTATTAAAATTTATATACTAATAAATATTAAGATTAATTATATTGGCTTTTTAAAATTGACGTTCACATTTCAGTTTTTTAGTTTTTTTACATTTTAGTTATTCCATCATTTTTTCAATCATTACTAATTGTGTCCCGATATGCCACACTTTAAATAAACCATTACATTGAAATAACTTATTTACAATCATATAAAATTTGTAAATATAATTAGTAATATATTTTTTAATATTTATTTGCACTTTTTACCATATGTATGCATATCTTGATTTTTTGTCCGTATCCACAACGTATCCCAATATGTCTCTTAAAATTGTCTTTCCGATACACCTTGCGTTTCCGATACTTTGAACCTTGACCATAACTAGTAACCTATTAGTCATCTCAAGCATTTGCATTCCAGTAATATTTCTATTTGTTGGTTAATCTAATCAAAAGTACATATGTAAAAATACCATCAAGGAGTTATGTTCCAAGAGTGCCTACTAATTATATATCAATGCATTAATCTTTGGTTGCTGATGAAATTCCATACGCAAAGAACAGTACAATATTTTTATCCAACACACCATTTTGATAGGACGACAATTTGGGGGGATGGCAAACGACCGTAGCCTAATCCATAGCTACCAAGGTTCAAAATGCCAGCATGCACAACAGCAAAAAATTGAGTGCCATGCATGTCAATTGGTCGAAACACATTTTTTTTAATATTTTCAGCATGATAATTGAGACATAGGCTGATGAGGATGAGCCCATCTCTATATCTCATGCATTAATGGCCTTCAAAACCAATATCAGGCATATCGTATCAATACTTTAACCTTGTTAGAAACAATAATATATTGGAGTTGTCATTCCCACCACTGTGATGTGTCGAGTTGAATTTTGATGATGCAGCTTGGGAAACCCAGGTGATTTAGCGATCAGAGTATACAGAAATGATAGGGGAAATTTTGTTGGCCGTATTCTCTGGGCCAATTTGTCATGAGGAATCACAGAATTATCAGCAATGTTGACCTTACAGGGTTTAAGAGTTCGGGAATCTATTAAATACAGAAATGTTGTGGTAAGAGACTCATAAGTGGTGGTGGGTTAAGTAGATGATGGGATGTGCAAGAATACAGAGTATTATGAACAGACAGCCCTTTCTATCACAAAAATTACTCACTTAAAGGCCTTCCACCATACAAAGAGGCACTCTAAATCCCTGATCTATACGAAGACCATCTTTGGTTTCATTTCCCTGGAAGTCCATCTGATATACATGTTCATATCTCCATTTGTTGAGGAAAAGAAATGTTTAAATAGTGTATACCACACTTATTCTTGTCAATCCAATTAGTAATCCTTATTATGACTTTCTAAATTGAACATGGCATTTGAAGAAACCTTGGAGAGGGTTCGAAGACCAAGAAAAGAGTAAAGCCAGAGATGAGAGAGGAGAGAAAGTTCAAGATGGCAGGGAAACGGCATTTGGAGCTGACCATTGAAGCCAAATACTTCCTGTTCGAGCTCAGAAGGACAATGGGGAAGTTTCACCAGAAAATCAGAGAAGGGAGCAAGGCAACGATTCTTCTTCCGGAGGAGGCGTGTTTGTGGTTGAAAGGTTTTGTGGATGGAACTGTTATTTCTTTACGGGAAGAAGGTCAGAGAAACTCGTTGACTTGTGGGAGGAAGAAATTCGAATCAGTGTTAAAGAGGAATGGAAACGGGTGGTTTATAATGGTTACAGAACTTTGGCAGTTTTGTGCAATCCGGAAGGCTAGAAGAGGAGAGAGTGGGCTTCCTTCGCTTTTAACCTTCAGGCTTTTCTATTGCAGGTCAAAGGGAGAGTGGAAGAAGTTCCCGGTAGGAGTTTGAAGAATTGTAATCCGTCCTCTCCCTGTGCTCAGGTGCCTTGCTTTAAGCAAAGAAATGAAGTTGTGGTGGCTATCTCGACTAACTTCGGCGAGTTTCTATTGAAGGGAGAGGGAGCTGGGAGCAGAGGTTGGTTCTATTGGCAGATAGGGCGGAAGATAATTGGACGAAGGTCTCAGAAGTAGTGGCCGAAAGATTGGGCTTAGAAGATGTTGTTTTATTGACCTTTGCTGAAAAGAAAGATCTATTAGATGTAGGCGATAAGAAATTGAATCTCGGCACATTCAGTGTAGAGGGAAGTTTGATACAGGTTCAGAGCTAGACTCCAGTTTGCAACGAAGTCGTACCAAGAGTTGGCAGCTTCTTGATCAAACTTCTTGGTCTTCCTTTCAACCTTTGGAATGAACAAATCCTAAAGAAAATTGTCAAAGCGTTGGGTGGAGATCTGTTGGAGGCTAACTTAAGAAACCTGCGAGCTGTGGAACTTAAGGTTGCAGGGATCTTGCCGGAAAACTTGCCTCGAGCCATCAAAGTTCTCTAAGATGATGCCTGGTATAAGGTCTGGCTAGCCTCAGAAAATGAAGCGTCACTCTAACAAGACGAACAAAGGTTGAAGGAGCTAAAGAGTCTACAGGGTGGTGTACACGTGGCCTTTAGGGGATGGCGGGTAAGCCTAGTGCGTGTGGGCGGGCTAAGGAGGAAGGGGAACAGTTGTAGGGGCGCCCCAATCCTCGAAGCTTTCCTTTCAAGGCTGTTAATTCAATTTTTTTTGAAGGTGGGTTATTTAAAACGGGTGGCCCGTCCTATGCTAACGTGGCTAGAAGGGGTAAGGCCCCGAGCGAGCTCTTTTAAAACCTCTCTGTCTGAGCCGGCCTTAAGGAAGTCTGAGATGACTGGTTCAGCAGGTGAGCCTCTCATTACGGGTAGCCTTTTAGCTTGTCCACGTGACAACTTAAGTCATCACATGGGGCAGGGCAGGCCTAGGGCGATGATAGATGAAAACTATCATCTCTCCCTAAAGTTCAGACAGGTGGATGATGGGTATGAATGGGTACTAACAAACGTGTATGGCCCCAATGACTATAGGCAGAGGGAGAAACTTTGGGAAGAATTGAGTGATATTAGAGGCCTTTGGGAAGGTCCTTGGTGTGTGGGTGGGGATTTTAATGTAGTGAGATTTACAGAGGAAACTAACAACCCCAAACAGAGAGTGACAACAAGTATGAGGAAGTTCAACCAATTTGTGGACTCCTTTGAACTTAAAGAAATTCCTCTCCTAAATAATAACTTCACTTGGTCCAACCTTCAATCTAGGCCAATTTGCTCTACGTTGAACAGATTTTTGTTCTCAACAGATTGGGAGGAACATTGGGGTAATCTAACTTCTAGAGCTCTTCCAAGACCTACTTCATACCACTGGCCTATAGTATTGGTTAAGGAGGAAATGAGAGTAGATGGTCCTACCCCATTCAGGTTTGAAAATATGTGGTTGACTCATCTGGGTTTTACTAAGAAGGTCAGAGAGTGGTGGGAGCAAGCTAATCCAGCTATTGAATGGGAGGAAATGAGGTTCCACAAGAAACTCCAATACTTAAAATCACAATTAAAGGAGTGGAATAGGCTAGAGTTTGGAAGAATAGAAAAGAAAAAACAAGTGTTGATGGAGCAGATTAAGGATTTGGACATGAAGGAAGAGAGAGGCTCCTTTGGAGAGGAAGAAAGGAAGTTGAGAAGGGTGCTGAGGAGGCAGATGGAGGACATCCTGGTTAAGGAGGAAATCAGTTGGAGGCAGAAATCCATGTGTAAGTGTCTCAAGGAGGGAGACAAAAACACTAGGTAATTCCGTTCAGTGGAAAATGAGAAGAGAAACAAGAATTTCATCTCTAATTTGGAAGTTGAAGGAGCAATGTTGTCCAACCAAGTAGAAATTGCAGAGGCTCTAGTTAACCACTTCAAATCTATTTTTAGAAGACCTCTAAATGGGAGAGTGTGGTTGGAGGGATTGGATTGGCCAACTCTAAGTGCGGAAAAGAGAGAGTGGTTAGAAAGAAGTTTTGATCTGGAGGAGATAAAGGAAGCAGTATTCTCAATGGATAGGACAAAAGCTCTGGGTCCAGATGGCTTCACAATGGCCATTTACCAGGATTGTTGGGATATATTGGAGAATGATCTTAGATCAGTTTTTAGGAGTTCCATAGAAGGGGAATAATAAATCTGGGTTTTAACTCAACTTTCATTGCTTTGGTCCCAAAGAAGAAGAAGGCTTCTCAACCAATGGATTTTAGACCTATCAGTTTGGTTACTAGCTTGTACAAAATTATTGCTAAAGTGTTGTCTCTTAGGATAAGGAAAGGTGCTTCCCTCTATTATTGCACCCAACCAAGGTGCTTTTGTGGAGGGAAGGCAGATCACCGATCAAATTCTCATTGCAAATGAGAGCTTGGAGAGTTTTAGGAAGTCAAAGAAGAATGGTGTGGTCTGTAAATTGGACTTGAAGAAGGCATATGACTTGGTTGATTGGTCTTTCTTGTTGGAGGTTTTGAGGAGCTTGGTTTTTGAGGTAGATGGTGTAAGTGGATTTGGGGCTGTGTCGGGACTTGGCATTACTCTATCCTGGTAAACGGCACTGTGGTTGACTTCTTTCCTGCGTTGAGAGGCCTAAGACAAGGAGATCCTCTTTCCCCTTTTCTTTTCACCCTGATTGCTGATGTTTTTGGGAGATTGATCCATAGATCAGACTCGAGGAATCTGATAAGAGGGTGGAGAATAGGAAGGGAGGAGGTTCCTTTAATTGGATCCGGAATCTAAAGTTGGCAATACATCTCTTTGAACAGATTTCTAACCTCAAGGTGAACTTTGATAAGAGCTATGTGGTGGGAGTGAATGTGGATGTAAGGGACCTAAGGGAATATGCAGGTGAAATAGGATGTGCAATCTCGGACTGGCCCTTGACATACTTGGGCCTCCCTTTAGAAGACAATCCTAAGAATGTAAGCTTCTGGAATCTTTCTCTAGGTGGGAGAGTCACTCTTATTAGGTCTACCCTAGCTAACCTACCTATCTACTATTTGTTAGTGTTTAAGATACTCTCAAAGGTTTCCAATCTTTTGGAAAAATTAATACGGAATTTTTTGTGGGAGCCTGGAGAGGAAAAGAGAGATCATAGGGTGAGTTGGGAGGTGGTTACTAGGTGTAAAAAACTAGGAGGTCTTAGGATTGGTAACTTCAAGAAAAGGAATATGGCTCTGTTACGGGGGTGATGTTTAGTTGGGAGGTGGTAACTTCAAGAAAACTAGGAGGTTTTAAAAAATGACAGTGTGGGGCCTTGGTAGTACCAACAGTCAGTGAGTGGGATTGCAGAAGTTATGAGGGTGATGTTTAATTGGCTGCAGAGATCGACAAACAGCCCAGCTAGTGAATTGACTAGATAAGGAGTTCTTACAAAACATCCGTTTTTGGGAAAACTACCCTCCCCTAGATTTTGGCCCAAAAAGGCCAAGTGACACCTTGACATTTTGGCCCAGAAAGGCAAGTGGTAGTGATTATTTTAGGCCTTTAAAGACCCATTCTATATGGAAGAAACTCAAGAAAGCCAATGAGCAAGTCCTGATTTAGCAGACTACAGAAAAATCTTGGGATTTACACTAATTTGGTGATTAAAAGGGAGTTAAAATACAAGAAACAAGAAACAAACAACTAAATCAAACCTATTGTTTTAGGCACATATATGATAGATATGGATTAAAAGTAGGAAAAATTACTTTTTCATATATATATTTAGATTTTTTAGTATATCTATTTTTATTTTCTGACAAGTTTGTAAAAAGAAAAAATAATTTTACAATTCACGATTCAATTCAATTAAACTTTCTCTACAATTACAATTTTCATAATATTGTCCTAGTTTTTAATCCCAATTGCAAGAAGTCTCATCCTTTTGTGCTTTACCATCTCAAAACCCCACCAAGTTCAACCTCCCTATTTAACCTACCAATCTCAAGTTGTTTATTTATTTTTTTGTTTCCCTCTCTAAAATCCATTCATCTTGTACAAATTTCAGCCATAACTTAGCTCTCTAATAAAGACTCTTAGCCCTATAGCCCAAGATAACCCTCATCCACTTTCCATAGACATGTCCTTGCCCCATAAACCCAACCTTAGGCATTAGGCATAAAACCAAAACACCAATCCCGTTTCAGCTTTTCCTTGAAACTACTACTAGCCCAGCCTTGGATCATATCATTTCAACATTAACATGTCAATGCTTGGGCAAAAACTAGGTGATGCCTAGGCTAAAAATAAATAAAAAACATGTATACATATTTTACAATATATAATCATACATACGTACTATGAATTACATGTTAATTATAAACTACGAAACAATAAATTAAATATGTGGAAGATCAAATGACAATCTATACCTGGCTTCCAAAAAATAACAAGAATATGTAATAACCTCCTAGATAAAAACTTCAAAGTAAAATACACAGGCACCAAAATTTAGAGGCCCAAATTTTTTGCTTTACACACACTCTAATGACCCAAAATGGGCCCCTTATTCATGTTAATATATACAGAGGACATTATAACCGGTTTCCTCAACTAAGATGTTTATATCTATACTGCCCACCTTGTTGGATGCCAAGGTGACAGGGCTCCTAAATGCCTAGGTGGTAGACTAGTCAATGTTTAGGCAACATCTTAAATACATTGAACTATGGCTAAAGGTGGAACTTGACAGAACTGTATACTACATTATAAGCCTGCTTTGGCATAATATAATTGTGATATTTGCTTTACATTGGCTGGACTAACTGTATCCCCTCATCATTTCCCTTCCAGTCTTCATATCTTTTTAATAAATCTAATGATTCTAATTACCATTACCAACCCAAAACTAAAAGTTAAGTGCATTTGTCCCTAAAAACCATATTGCTTCAATACCAATACATTCACAGAAAGAACATCCAGTAGAACTGACAACCTAAATACAGTGCACTAAAAGCAAGAAGTGGAACTAACGCACGAGTTCCTGGAAACTGGAGGAAGTGAGACACCACTTTTGAAAAAAAAATCAAAAGATATACTTTACATACCAGAATATGTAAATCTGAATTTACAAAGAAATGAAACATTTCAAAAAGCTTATTAGCTCAATTTGTTAGAGAATCACGTTGTCAATGTGGGGGTTTTCACCTTGTACTTAGAACCTAGGAGTGTAAATTGAAGGGACTAGAAGGGCTGGGAGTAGACCAGAAACAACATGGGTTGAAGTAGTGGGAAATGATCTAAGTGTTCAAAATTTAATAATTGATATGGCACTAAACAGAACGGAATGGTGAAACAGGATTTATGTAGCCAACCCCATATAGTTACGTCAAGGCTCAGATGATGATGGTGATAATCTCCTTGATTTATCTGTGTGAGCTCCTTTCTGTACGTATTCTCATGTACCCTTTTTCTTGTTTAATGAAATCGGTTATCTTTCATCTCAAGAAAAAAAATTCCCCTTGATCTACACCTCATAATTTTGTTTTAGTTATTGTAAATAAACATTTTGAAGGTTTTAATTGTAACTTCAATAACTAAAACATAAATATCCTATTATAGATCAAAATTTATTCAAAAATTGATTTCTCTCAAGTTGTAATCAGATACAGTAACAAAATCCAGTACGTTGAGGGTTGATCTAGAAATTCTCACGAATAAAAAGTTCTACCCCAAAAGATAATACAAAATGCTTGTTTCACGCATTGACTTAAGAATTCTACTACAACTCTTACTTTCTTAATTAACAAGAAAATAAAAAATAAAAAAAAACTATACATAAGAGAATATAGAACAAAAGGAATAGGTTCATACAGTAACATGATAATAGAACAATAAGTACATCATTATCAATTACAAAGACATAATAGCAGGACATACTGTATAACTCCGAATGAATATATGATTTGAAAATATTTACAATTATCCAGGTTAACTGTAAAAACACAAGTTATTTATCTTAGAGTATAAGTTTGAGTAGGATAGTAGTTGACCCTCCCGAGAAATCTGACTCTTTGCAGTTTACGCTGATATAGATTAGCAGTCAACAGAAAAAAACATTGACAAACATTCCAAACAAACACCAGTCAGTTAATATCAATATCTTGCTAAAGCATCTTATCATTTGACAGTAGAAGTGACCCTTGGCAGAATTGAATGGCATGAGAAGATATGTGAAGCAACCCTTAAATATAAAATAGAAAAGACAATGATGACAATGACAACAATGATAGTGATGATGATGTCAAATAAACAAGACAATGTATTTCAACAGGCAAATATTCAAACATGGTAGTTGCATCATACATTTTCTGGAAGTTTGATATAAAGCTTCAACAGCACAATAAACCACAGTCTTGAAGTAAGGATACTTGTTGAAAGTTTCAAAAATCTAGTCACTAATGCCCTAAACCACTCACTCAAAATTACCAATAAGGAAAAAAAAAAAGGAGAAACCTCATCAAGTTCTCAGTTCAGGTCCTTCAGGAAAAAGCAGTTTGTTTTCGAACCATGTTACTTGATAGAAAGTATGCAGAATTATAAGCACAAAAAAAAAACCGAAATAATACAACCATAGGGTGTAATGGTCTTACAAGCTATGCCCAGTCTGAAGAATGACCTCTGGAGCCATCCAATATGGAGTACCCTTCATTGACTTAGCACCTGATATTGTAGCCTATGGCAATCCATACTAATCAATTAGCATGAAGTACTTAAGAGAAGAAATGGTATATATAATGAATCAACAATAAGTAAGATTACAAATAAAAAGAGGGCGTAGTTTTTATACCAGCTCCACAACCTTCTTGGATGCTCCAAAATCAGCAAGCTTAATGCATCCTTTATTATCAACAAGGATATTTGCCCCCTGAAATTGAGTATAACACATTATATTCACTTCTGAAAAAAGTGCATGTGTTTCCAAATAACATATAGAAGACGAGAAACAGGTGCCTTGATGTCTCTATGCATAATTCCATTCTTATGGAGATACTCCAGCCCCAGTAGCAGTTGCTTTGTGTACATTCTAATAACCTGTTCAGTAATGATTACGAGATCAAACATGTGCACAGGGAAAGATCCAAAGACCCAAATGTGAAGTTCAAGTATGAAAAATGACTCACAGACTCAGGAAAAGATCCAAACTTCCCAAGAAGTGATGAGATGGATCCCCCAGGAACAAATTCCAGAAGAATATTTAAGGTGTCCTCCTCCCTAGCAGTTCCCAAATATCTCTGGAACAAAACAAGGAACGCAGTTGGGCAAGACACAATAGGACATCATTTCTTCTATAACAACAGAAGATAATACTCACAACAATGTTTGGATGAGTGAGGTTTTTAAGAAGCTTCACTTCTTCCTCGAGCTCCCGAATATGAGCCTATTTGGCAAATCATAGACTTAGCTCAAATTTAAACAAATGAAATTTGTGAACTGAAAATTAGAAATCAAGTAAAAAATTAAGATAACTGAGTACAATGAATACATCAATATGTTCAAATAACAACAATTAACAGAACCCAAGCCACAGACTTACAAATCCATACAGCAACAAACAAAATGCAAAATAGAGCTTCAAATAATTAAAGAAAATATAATTTTAAAAACCAAACTCTGGAAACTAATTCTCACTTGCGCCTTATCCTTGGTAGCATTGTTCGCAGCGACCAAAACCTGAAACAAGCAGCAAGATCAAAATCCAAGTTCTAGTCAAACCAAAAACCCGTAAATCAAATACAGAAAAAAATTTAAAAAAAAAAAAAAGAGAGAGAAATTTAAACATAACCTGCTTCACCGCGAGAAGCTCTCCAGAATCGAGATTCATTCCCATATACACTCGACCGAATGCCCCACAGCCGATCAATTCTCCTTTCCGCCATCGGATCTGAGGCGCCGTTTCTTTGACGATCGGCGGCAAAGCAGGGGGAGACGGTCTGGGGAGCCCAACCCTAGATTTCCGAATGCAAGAAGCGATCTTCTCACTGAGACTCCCGAGTCCGCCTTCACCATCTGAGTCTCGAAAGAAGAGTGATCGGCGAACTGATCCTAAGAAGTCTTGCATCACTTTTGTACTTTGCTTCGTTGTTCGGAGCAATCTAGGGTCTATCTCTGACTGTGCTTGCTGTTTGTAGTGAGTATTGATCAGAGAAATAAAACCAAAAGTAGGGTTCTTTCTCTGGGTTTCATTTCGAGACGAGACGAGAGAGAGAAAGATTTGAAGGAGGGAAAAGGCAGGGGATCCTTTTTTCAAAAACAAGAGATAAATTACTTGTACCTCCTTAGGGATGGTTTGGTCAAATACCAAGACCACTCGTCCGTTTGCTAGTTGCCACCGATTCAATTTTTCGAGAGATAAAAAAATTGGGTAAATTACAAATACCCCCTTGTAAAAGGAGGTGGCCACGAGCGAACTAACCGTTTTCCGTCTTATGATTAGACCTGTTTATGGGCCGGGCCGGGCCGGGCTTTCACTTGTCATTAAGGGAAATATGTTAGGCCCGAGCCCGAGCCCGGCCCTGATAAAAAGCCCGATCTAATAAAAAAAAAACAATTTTCCCTATTTAAAATAGAATTAAAAATTCAGATAGTTTTTTTTTCCTACTTAAATGAACAATGGGCCTACAATGTGGTTTTTTTCCCCTTTCTTTTATATTTTAAAACATAGTTTTACATTCTTAAATCAAAAAATTTATTCAAATGGACATAATCATATTACTCACTTTAAGTTTAATATTAGGTTGGGCCGGGCCGGGCTATTTTGACAAAACCCGAGCCCGGCTCGAATTTATTGCGGGCCGGGCTTTTTGGCCCAAATTTAAGCCCCCGGCCCATGAACAGGTCTACTTATGATTTTGGAAAAATTCTCAATTAGTAGTATCCTTTATTTTACTTTGGGCTTAATGCCATTTACTTTGGCCTAATGTCACTTTCATCCCCTAACTTTAAAATCTGATAATTCAATACCCAAACTTACGTGGGATTTGTGAATCCAGTATGTGTATGTTGTTAATGGACCATTACTCTGTTAGTTAAGTGCGACTTAACACTTTTAAAAATGTCACAATTACTCTTTAAAATAAAACACTATTCTTCCTCAAGAAGATGAAACAAAGGTGAAAAACAACGAGTCAGGGATCCTAATATGCTTGTGAGCATCAACGGGGCGGGGGTCATATTCTTCATCCCCATTCCCAATTATGAAATTACCCCTGTCCCCATCTCTGATCCCTATCGGGGATAAAATTTGTTCTCCATCCCCGATCCCCGATGGGGATGGATTCCCATGGGGACCCAAATCCCCCGATTTTTTTTTGGATAACAGTATTTATTTGAAAATAAATTTACTTAATCCCCATCCCCGACCCCGATATCGATTGGGGATTCCTATTAATCCCCGTTCCCATCCCGGGCCTGCCAAAACAATCCCCATCCCTGACCCATTGGGTTAGAGAAGTCGAGTCCCCATCAGGGATGGGGAAAATTGCCATGTCTAGCCTTGTGAGCATGAACAAAAAGGGTTCCTCCCCTCAGAGCATTTTTTGGTACTACCATGAAATAGCATATACATACAATATTGGATGATATTAGTTTGGTGGTGGCCTCACCTATGAATAGCATAATTCTTCCCAACTTCCTCTTGAAATTGGTAAAATGGTGATCAGCGTTAAAGAGAAGATCGTCTTTCATTGCCATATTTGGGCACTTGGATGGTTGAAAAAGAAAATTATATGATACCATAAGGGTCAGGTAACGATAAGTACTAGATTGGCATGTTCTGAAAGTTCTGATGCAGAATTATCGCATTTTAAAGTTTGGGGACCAAATTGGTACTAGGCTCAAGGTACAGGGTACTAATTGGGAATTTTCCCTATGATTTAACTTAACAGTCAAGGATATTTGTCATGAAGTGAAAATTTAAAGGGCCTTTATCACAAATTAAAGTATAATTATTTGTCACTAACCCCATATTACAGCCTCTCCTTCCTCTCCCCTTTTTCTTTCCTGCCTACATCTTCTACCCCCTCTCAACCGATCATCTTTAGTAGTCCTCACCAACACTCTCGATACCTCTTAAAGTCTTAATTATTGAATAATGACTTGTTTGCAAGCAACCTCTAATCCATTCACACCATCGTTCCCCAAAGCCAAACCTTCTCATAATATTAATCATGAACTCTCAATCCACCGGATCACATTATTTCTCCAAGTCAAGTTTGATTGTTATTCCCCTTTTACTTAGTCCCTTTTGAGCCTTCATACACTGCGAAGCAATTAGGATTTGGTTAATTATTTGTCTATCTAGAATGAAGGCCACTTCGTGTTGGGAGATAAGAGAAGGGAGCACCTATTAGATTCTTGGGGAGAGTCTCCATATTTCAAATTTCGTTTTCCATCACCATATAGCAATTGCTCTTAACTTAAGAGCAAACATTTAAGGTGGTGTTCAGTTTCATGGAACATCCACGATATATTGAGTTTTGGTCTGCACCACAATTGCTTAGGGCGTTCGGTTGGTTCGTGGTGTGGACCAATCCACACTATCTCATGGATTGGTCCATGCCACGGGCCAATTTATCATCCACGGGTTTATCTCGTGGATTAAACCACACTACTCTATTGTATGGGATGAGGAGTTATCCCATACTTCGCATCTAATATTTATCGTTTCATATATCATGTTATTTGATTTTGCATGAAAAAGTCAAGGTTTTTAAAACCAACCTGAAGAACGAACCGATATGGGTATGGTTCCCTAGTCGAACGGTTCGACCATTTGAACCGAATGATCAACCTGTTCTAATAGAAAAATAATAAAAATAATAAAAAATGGTCAAACCCGTTGAATCGTTGATTTGGTCAGCGGTTTACTGACCAAATCAACGTTTTTTGGCCAAAATCCGATTTTGGTGAAAAACTGAACTAGTCACCTAACCGATTCCCAGTTTTTTCCGGTCCGATTGTTCGACCTGGTCCAGTTTTGAAAACCATGGAAAAAGCACTAACATTTAATTGGATAAGTGTATATTTTATAAGGTTTCTAAAACCAACTCATAGAATGAACCGATCAGAGGTCCAATTCCCAGGTCGAACAGTCGGCCCGTTCTAACAGAAAAAATAAAAAAATAAAAAATGATCAAAACTGTTGAGCAGTTCAAATGATTTGAACAGCTCAACCGACCAGGTCAACGGTTTGTTGACCAAATCAATGTTTTTTTGGCCAAAATCCAGTCTTGGGGAAAAAATGGATATGACTGATTCCCAGTTTTTCCTGTCCAACCGTTTGATCTGGTCCGGTTTTGAAAACCATGGAAAAAGTAATAACATTTAATTGGATAAATGTATATTTTATTATTTATTATTTTACAAGGTTTTTAAAATCGACACAGAGAATGAATCGGTCAGGGTCTAGTTCCCGGGTCGAACGGTCGACCCGTTTTGACAAAAAATAAAAAATTATCAAAACCGTTGAAAGGTTCAAACGGTTCAACCGCCCAGGTCAACAGTTTGTTAACCAAATCAACGTTTATTGGCCAAAATCCAGTTTTAGCAAAAAACGAAACTGATCACCTAACCGGTTCTCGGTTTTTCTGGTCCGACTGTCCGGTCTGGTTTGGTTTTTGAAACCATGTTATTTTACATAATAAATATTAGTAATGTCAAATTGTCAATAACTTCATAAAACAATATTAGTAATATTATTAATAATATTTTTATTAATTAATAAGTTTTGAATATTATTTTTATTAATATTATCAATCATTGTTAATTATTAGTAATTAGTAATAATATTATTAATTATTATCAAATATTATAAATATTACTATTATTATTTTTAATTATTGTTAACATTATTTTATTGATCATTAATTATTAATATTAATAATTTTTTTAATTAGTATTATTACTACTAATTTTAGTTAATATTAATATCATTATTTGTTATTAAATATTATTAATATTATTGTTAGTATTATTAATTATTATTAATACTATTTTTATTAATTGTTATTTTTTTGTAATTTATTAATATTTTTTCTATTATATATATTACTAAAAAAATAAAGTATTGTATTTTAATGATTAACGACATAGATAATCTCACATGTTGTAGTTGAGATGCATGGAATCAAACACAATATGTGAGCAGAAATGTGCCACACCTTGCAGAACGCCCAATAAGGTGTGGTATGGATCGATACACACATTTTTGTTCATGATGCAGAACAACTATCCTAAATCTAACCTTTGATGCTAAATATCATTTCTAAGACTATGTCTTTCCAAACATGTGCATAATTTTTTTAGTGTAATATATATATATATATAGCATTTTTACATATTTTATAAATGTTAATGCTAAGTACATCTAAAGGTATCCATGCAGCATTGGTACAATATTTGATAAGTATGTATCCAACACTGGTACACTAAGCTTGTCTAGTTATGTAGGTATTATAATGAGTGGGATGTAATGTAATGGGGACCTGCTCTATCAAGAAAAAAAAAACAAAAAAAAAAACAAGGGGATATGATTTGGAAAGTGGGATCAGGACGATATGAGTCAAGGGGCTTAGAAATTTTGCTTTATTCCCCTGATGAATGACTTGGAAATTTTGTTTTTTGAGAAAATGTACTTTTCCATTATAATTTTTGATTAATTTTAATTTAGTATGTGAAAAGATAAAATTCGAATGACCTTCATATCATGGAAATAAGAGAAATTAGTGTTTTGAATTTGGATAAATCTGTAATGCTGAAAATATTTGATACCGAAAGAATATTGACCAATCAAAATCCCCATGATGAGTGGCACCCGATTGGTTAACACATTTATGACACCAGTCGATTGGTTATAAGTTGTTTTTAGAATCATAGTTGAACCCTTTGAATTATGAGATTTAGATTTGAAAGCGATAAGTAGAAGAAATATTGCAAATAAGGCTCCATTTGGAAGTAGTACAAAGGGAAAATCTATGATATGGGAAATGTATCATTTTCATATCATATCCGAGACTTCAACCAATCAACATTCGACTTGTCACGTTCGTTGAATGCAGGTTATCCCTAGTATCTGATTTCAAAACAACCATAATATAATCATATTTCAAAAAAGAAATACGTTAAAAGAATAAAAAAAGAAAGATATTAATGTTGTCATTCATTAAAACGTCACTCTCCCCTTTTCTTATTCTCTAAATTCCAAACCCATGCCCCGCATCACTGCGTCATTCTCCCATTTCAAAACCA